TTATACGCATTCCAGCAGGTGTGCGCTGGTTCGGAGCAGCGGGTACGATCAAGTAGGTATATTATAATATACTAGGTACTGCATAAAAGTCTGATAAAATAAAAGTCCGAGCGTTATTCCAATCAATAGTATTAGCTACGTATCAATAAAATCCCGCGCGCGGTAAGTACGAACACATTATAGGTATTGATCGTACGGACTACGGAAGGTCGTAAAAAACAATATTTTATTACGTCTTTTTAATTTATTTAATGTTTTACCAGTTTCGCACGTTCGTATAAACTATAATATTATATGGGTATACATAATAATATTATACTTGGCAATTATTATAATACAAAATTAATTGGACGTAAAATTTGTTTGTTAAATGCATACCTGTAAATTATTATAATTTCTTTTTTGTAATATATTCGTAATAATTTATCTAAGGGCTTTTTATGACTCAGTATTTTTTTTTTTCGACGACTTTGATGGGAAATATGTATAGAGGATCGCCCGAGGAAGATTTTTGGCAGAGAATTAAAAATGTCAACAATCTGTATTATTATTGTAATCTTGCATATGTATAACGGAAATTAACTATTATTACTATACTATACACCATTAGGTACGTTACAAATTCGAAAAACAATAAAAATGTTTTGTTATAACAACCATTATAATATCCAAGGTCCAAGACGACTCAGACCCCTTATCTCTGACTACGTTTAAAAGGCATCTTCTTTCATCTAGAAATCGGTAAAATGTCACTTTGTGTGTTCTAGGCACCTCAAATAATACTTAACGGTTATATAGAATGAGTTTAACGGTGGCCGTTTACGCCGAGAGACTTTTAAGGCTTAAATTTGTTTCCATTATATGTAAATACTTGCTGGTGTGAAGTGGCTACTTTAGAGCTTCAAAAATCTCAAACGCGTTCTCCTCGGTCTTCTGTATCCGTTAACTATATTTTTCGCTGGTCTGTTTTAGTATTATGTTGGAATATGGAGATGTAGTCTGGCACTCTTATCGTGTGAACCACCGACTGCATATTTAAAAGGTTTAGAACGAGTTAATTTTGTTATATGCAGCTTTTATCTCTTTTTAAAGATCTCCCGCCCTTTACGTGATTACTCGTTTGTCCAACAGTTTCTATTGGCGTCTAAACACATTTCGACCGCTGCGTGCCGTGTTGCCACCGATTTCAAATTTCTTTCGTCCTTTCTGGACGATTCATTCGATGCTCCCGAACTTCTCGCTAGTGTCCAGATTCGCGAGCCTAACTACCACACCAGGGACCACGTGCCATTCTCTATTTGTTATCATGCAACTGCTTCTAGTAGAAATCACCCTCTACACTGTATGCTTCACAAATTTAGTGCATTATATTTCGCTAAGTTCTGGGTCTTTTGTGCTATAATTTTATTACCCATTTTCTTTATATTAAACGTTTAATATGTTCTTCTGTCCGAAAGCCGTAACTGTTGTAATTAATTAAAATAAAATAAAAATGCCGATGATTGCCTATTTGGGTCCCTTACGTCTCAAGAAGTTTCTCGCGAGAAACACATATCAGGTATGTTTAAAGGGGTTATATATAGGCAACCATTAGTAAAACTGATCCATAGGTACTATACTGTATACTGTATACTATCCACTATACTGTTGTCAGTTTCCCGTATTATTAGTACCTAAAGTACCTATATTAGTACTTACAAAGCTTGAATAATAATTTCTCTAGTAATACCTATTTAGTTACATGTAAGGTTCGGGACTTATTGAATTTGCATATTTTTATTGAATAGTTAAATAAATTACTAAGTAAAACAGAAATTTGTTTCAAGTTGTAACGAATTTAAAAACACAAAAAAAAATTTCATTTTTTGCATACATTGAAGTTTTTATGAAAACACGTATTTTTTGTATGATAAACATTCTTTTATGTATGTAAAATTCTATATTCTAAGTACGTAGAATATTTCATACAATAGTTAATAAAAGTTTTCTGTGCACTGTCGAAATCAATTATTATCGTCTTATCGACACACGAGTTTTCTGTGAACTATCGAAATAAATTATTATCGTCTTATCGACAAACGAGTTTTCTGTGCGCAGTCTAAATCGATTATTATCGGCAAACGTCAAATAAAGATAAGATATTTAAAGGGAACATTCTGGGTTTTGTTTTTAATAGGTTTAATAGTCAACTTGTATTTATTAAATTAAATTTTGGGTTTTTATCCGATTTAATTACAAGACTTGAAAAACAAGAAATTCCACTGGCAGGTTCTATTTCTATTGTCGAAGATGCGAATGAAAAATTAATTAAATTTAACGGAGAAGTGGGGAAAAAAATAAAAATAATTATTAAGTCTGTTTTATGAAAAAATAAAGGCTATCGAGCAGTTCCCATAGACACCTTATTTTGCTATAAAACATTTTTAAGATTCCAGCCCCCCCCCCTAATTTAAAAGACTAATTACGCCTATGCTATAATCAGTGTGACAGTGTTTCAAAATTGATTCATAAAACGAAATGTTTTTATTTCTTTAGAGCTTTTTATCCATAGTGATAACTAACAGTTTTCCTAACAAACAATATTGTTATAGATGTAGGTATCCATTTCTATTTATTATCTATGGTATTTTTACGATCGGATCACAGCTAAAGCCTCCGTGGTCATGACCGGAAGTCTAGTAATTTAGATAAAATTACGTTTTTCTATATCAACTAGTTGTGGTCACTATCTTTCGGCATTAAACGCAAAGAGCACAACTCCTTGGCCATGATTTCGTGAAAGGAAGTTAAGAGTGTTTAGACAACGGCCGTCGGGGATCGTAGTTGTGACGGGATAGCTGCTTATTTTTATTTCGACTCCGGTGGACTTGAGTGTTCGTGATGCAGCAGTCAATATAGCTAGTAGTTAGAAAATATAGTTGGTGAGCTATAACAATTGACGAGAATTTGATTGAATTTGAGGGGGGCTATTTTTAGTGATAAACAAAAAAAAAAACCTCCATAAAAATGGGTATACCCGTAACCCATTTGTTATCATACATCAAAACGTAACTAGCCATAAAAGGTCATTCTAATTTTGGAGTCAATAACATTTTTTTTTTTTGGGGGGGGGGTTAGAATAATAATTATTTATTTATTTTTTGATAATTTTAGGTGAGTAATAGATGATTTCAGGAGAAAGGATTAAACCCCTTTCCCTTATAATCTCCATCTATAGCTATAACAAGCTAGAAAATTATAAAATAAATAGTGTTTTTGTATAAAATACACTATAGGGTTTGCCTTAGGTGACGGGTGGATAGAATTTTAAGCTCAATAATTGAGCTTAAATTATTGTCAATTATTAACCATTTGCCCCCATCTCAAAGAAAAAAAAAACAATTATATATAAGCGTGTTTAAAGTTAAAATGTAGATAAAAATCATAGCTTTGAACATAGGTACTTTTTTCCGATTTATGCGAATAAAATTGATAACAGAAATGATTTTGAATTTTACTCCCCTCGAATCGTTTTTTCGTAAGCAATAGTTTATCGTTGCTTAAAGGTACACATTAAATTACCTATAATAGTGGCTGCATTAGTCATTATCTTAGGAAGTTTTTTTTTTTAAATACTATTCGTCAAAAATAATTTTCATCAAATTTATTTTTCGGCTAAAATATAGCTAATTTATTTTCGAAACTTTTAAATGTTCATTAGGTACCTACTACCTATAACAGTGGCGTGCTCAAGAAGGGTGATGTGAATGATACACCGTGCAATGGAAACAAATCTAAAACCAAGATATTTATCTCTTTTTTTCTTTTCTGCAAAAACTTGTTACAAAAAATTCAAAATGGAAATATTAAAATATCAGTTAAGTGACTCCTCTAAATACTGGACACCTCAGTCACTGAAACTTTGTTCGTTATTCTGAGATATCCGTTAATCAAAGGGAGAAAGTGTCCGTTATTTAGTGTCCCGTATTTAAAGGCTTTCCTATTAGTAAGTACCTACCTAGTGAAAATATCCCCGTTCCCAAAAAACCGTTCGCTATTTAAATGTCCGTTATTTGGATGTCCTCTATATAGAGGTGTCCGTTAAGGGAACTTTATCAATATTTTTTCGGTAATTAATATAATTTTAACTTAATTTACTGATATTAGTATATATAATTTATGATTTTATTTTAATACTTTTAACACATATTCATATCACCCTCCCCCCCCCCAAAAAAAAAAAAAAAACAAAAGAAGTTTATTGTAGTTACGTCTGCACTGACCTATAATATTAATGTTATAATATCCGGAAACAACATGTTTAATTAATTTAAGGTAGAATTTCAAATAGGTATCAGTGCAACCGAAGTAAATTTAAATTTTTTACTAGATATTAGAATATTTTCAAAATAAATTTCGTTTAAGTATTTTATGTTATTCAGTATTTCAGTTATTTAGTTTTCTATTAATAAAACATGGGTATAGGTAATCCTTTATAAAATTACTTTAGCTGGTACTTAAGTTTGGGTACGGGAGGTTAGGCTCTACATAACACCGGCACATAATGGTATACTTAAATGTTTATAATATTTGTTTAGAGCTCTCTAGTTTGGATTGTGACTTTGGTTATGTTTTTGATGCAAAATTCGATTTCGAGACGGTTGACGGTTCACCCAATCTACAATACATTATTTCAGCACATCTTTGGTCGCGCCCCGGTAACAATAAATAATGTACCTACGTTGAACAATGATTGATATCGGTTATAATAATAATCTCCGACGGACGGTTTTAAACGGGAATAACGAGTATAAATACACGGGCCAAAAACACGATTGCATACCGCATACACATTCGTCGGCAGTAATAAACTGATGTTTTGTTTGTGAAAAAGCGGTCGGAAACGGAACGGCACCGACAGATCGGATGATAACACGGACTGATAAGCTCCATAATTTTCATTATTTGGCGCGTTGAATGTTGATAACGGTGAACATTATTGTCATTTAGTAGTAGTGGTTACTATTGATTCGCGCGTTTTAAACGCGTACGCGTCGGCTCGACGTTATCGTTGACAAGAAATAATAATAAATTATAAATATCGTTTTGACTTTACCCACTTAGATTGTTGACGAGTTCGTTTCTCGTGTAAACAACGCGCCGGGAAAATCCGAATTATGAGCTTTCTAGCTGCCGTATTAGCCTCTGCAGGTACGTTGTGTTTCACAGCACACACATAAACGATTTTTATTATACAAATTTGTTTTGGTAAACCGTCCATAGTATGGTAAATCATTACTGATTATGTTGTTGTTTGAAGGCGAGGTAGAGATGACTGACTTGGACAAGAACGTGTCCGAACTCAAACACAAGATAACCAACCTCGAGTACGACATCAAGGAAGCGATGGAACAACGGTATATGAAGTTCGTTGTTGTCTCCAGAGATGCTTCGTCGCTGTTAGAAACCGCCAAGTCTTATTCAAATCAAATCAACAACTTAATTTCCAGAATCGACAATCAGGTAATTATATTTAATAATAATAACATTTACTAAATAATTACCTTTTACTTATTATCATATAAGTTATCTTATACATTGAACCTAATAGATTTACTTGACTTTGTAGGTACTGTATTCATTTTTAAATTTAAAATTGATTAGAGATTTATTTTGTTGAATATTTAAGATTTAGTTATTATAAATCACCTTTTACTGTTGTACAGATTCTGTCATTAAATATTTCCTGATGTTTTTTTAATGCTTACTATTATTAATTTTTTTTCAGACTAAACGAGAAGTGGTAGACGCATTGTCTGACCTGAAAATGTTCAAGACCACTCTAGAAGAAAACAAATACAGTTTGAATGTTATTGAACAAATTCTCACGGCAAGCATAAACCTTTCAAATGATAATCAAACAAAATTATCCTTATCCGATAGAATAGAAAAAATGCAAACTGTTGAAGAAATTCTAACAAACAATGAAAATTTATCAAATCTGGATGTGTATAAACATTTACTGCGAGAACACCAAAGACTAACAGATGTTTTACATTCTAACTGTTTAGCGACCTGGAGAAATCAAATAGAATGGTTGGAAAATGATGTGGATGGTCAGAACTCCTCGTGGAAAACAATGTTGAAAATTTCAGGCAGCCAGAAAGATATTTACGATAGTTTCTTTGCCTTAAAATATTTCGATACTATAAATGTTGAAATCGAACGATTTGCTGATAAACTAATAAATTCTATATTGAAACCAATTATTATTGAAAACTCTCAAATTGACATAACAAAAACTATTAATGTCTCGACTCTTACTCTGAAAATTTCCAAACACGAAGATGATTTTCTATCAACAACAATAAAATCACTAACGGATGTATTTACATTTTTGAATTTGACTCTTCCTGTTGAAAACGAAACACAAGTAATGTCTTATCTGGGATCTTATGCTAGTCATGCATTTTGTAACACTTTCAAAGATGTAGCATTATTTAATGCCGTACCTATTAAGTTTAATGAACTAAAACATGATTTTCAAAAAAACATTGATAAAGTTCTTGAATTTAACTCATATTTAACCGAAATAGGTAATTGAATATTATTTATTTTTCTATAAATATTAAAATGTTTGTATATATTTATGTATTTATTTGATTATATAGGATTTTTCGAAGAGTCAAATGACGAATTGGTCAAGTATTTAGAAAATATTGATAATTTATTTTTCATGAAAATTAGTCGATTATATTATGACCAAGCAAGAACAATTATAAAGAAAGATCTACATGATTTGGTTGAAGTAAATAATGTGAGTTACTTTTTTTTTTTTTGGTTTCATGTTATACAGGGTGATTCATCAAATACGTTCACTCCATTTTTACATGGTTAAATTATATATATATATATTCAAATTCTGATTTTGAAATTTTTAATTTTAGTTTAACCAAAATTTAACCATGAAAATGGAGTGAGGATGCTTACCATGTACATAAGATGTGAATCTCCCTGTATATAAAATGGTTTATTTTATTATATATCTATAGTACACGTATTTATTTTTCTGTTTTCATAGGAAAATAAATGGGACAGTGATGATAACATTAAAGATGATAATGGGTTTTGTCAAAATTTTTTTTCTTATCCACAAAGTAAAGTGAGGTACCTAAATTTTAATTTAATAGTTATTTTATTAATAGGCATTTAAATTTTTTATATTATGTTTAGGAATCTTTCTTGGTATTACCAAAGATTAAATATAAAAAAAAAATTGCTCTATATTTCTGGAATTGTGATTTTTTTATTTTCATAATCTAGTATATATTTATTATTAAACAATGTACATTTACTATTACCAAAATAGGAATAGTTAATCTATTACTTTTGGTAGCTCGAGTAATTAATTAATAATAATAAAAAAAAAAAAAAGGGCGTTATATACGAGTATATAGTTATATACTTGTAGGTGGTAGGTATGTGAATTGATGTAATATTTGACCTAGTGTAACTTACATATTATACATGCTTAGAAATTAAATTGAAAAGTAAATAGCAATAGAAAATTTCAATAAAAATATTTTCTCGTATATATATCAACTAGTTGTCTCACATTGCTTTGCTCATGTCAGTATTAAAAGAAATATATAAAAATATGTTTCCCCATGATTCTATTTCCATTAACTACTTAGAGGCTGAATTATGGGATGAAAAGTATTTTATGTGTTAATCTAGAGTATATTCTATCTGTGTACTAAATTTCATCGAAAACTCTTTTGGTATGAAAGGGGTTATAAACATCTAAATAAAACTTTGCATTTATAGTATAAATGAGATGAGATAATAACTTTCAAAATTGAAGAGTAAATGATACCGTACGTTTAAACATGGGGTGCTTTTAATGTATTGGCAGAGCTCCTCTTTTACATTAATTTGCGATAGCTCCCTTTACACATTAATTAAAAATTGCTGGTAGAAAAGTTGTCCACAGAAAAAAAAATATTGTAAAACCACAAGCTTTTTCGCTTCACTCAGAATTTAATATAAACTAATGCTAATATTTAACTAACAGAACAGAATGTACTTATTAATAATTATTTTTAATTTCAAATTACAATTTAACCGGATGGTATTATTGTCATTATTTTCAGTAAGTCACTACTAGAACTTCTGGATCTTATTGAAACAATAGCTTCTGAAATGTCTAGTGTACCAGAAAGTAATGCTTGGCGATACCATGATATTTTAAACAACATAACAATTATGTATTGTGATATAGTACCATTTCAGCGTTGCAAAGCTCTAGAATTTCATCCTCAGCGATCTGGTATGATATTATATTATATTCTTTTTAATGAGGAAAACATTTGGTGATAATATAATTACAATATTTTTTTTGGGATTTTAGCTGTTCTTTACAATAACATTATGTATTTTACAAGACAATTGGCTGAAATGAGTCCTATATATAAGAATTTACTCATTGTGCATTTACTTGAAAAGTTAAAAAATTTAGCTAGTGAAATACTTCATTCTCAGTGCAAACAACAAATTACACAAATCGAAAATATTGTTAATCAATCTGGTAAGGCATTTTAAATTGGCCACTGTATATAATGATTTTAAAAAAGTAGTGCATTATTTTATATATTTATGTGTGTTGTTTTAATTAAAAAAATGAATTAACTTACTTATATTTATTTACATTTTAGATATTATCTCAATGGCTGTAAATTCAAATTTAGGATACTCTTTTGAGAAAAGTATTTCACAATGTTATAATATTTTATCAATTTTAAGTACTTTATGGAAAGATATTTTGCCATCTTCTATATATTGTAAATTTATAGGTAAAATTATTTGGACTTTTTTTTATGAATGATTACCAGCCCCAGATCTAAAAATTATGACACCCAGGGCAAAATATGATATTAGCTTCTACAAAGTGTGCTATAATGTTTATCATTGTGCTAATAACCCTGTAAATGTTGATTTTTTTTCTATCAGGTTTTGTGCGAGGAAGACATATAGAGAAAAATTAAACTTTTTTCTTCCCTTGATCGCTGAATAAATTAACTTTTTATTCTATCACTTTTTAAAATGTTTAGAATAACCATTGTATAAAATATATTATTCTAAAACTTTTAATGTATCATACATTCTTATCCGATTAATGGTTTCTTAGTTAAAGTGGCTTTGGTGTGGTGATTTCTAATCTCTTGGACATTACAGACCACTTGGAGAACTTTAAATAAGTCTCGGACAACCACAATTTGCTAATAATAACCTTTACTTTTACTTATTATGGTTTTCTTCTACTTCACTTTGTACTTTTTTTTTGTATTCAACAGGTAATAATAATACAAGTCATTAAATACTATCAATTTATTAATAAACTTTGATAACCACTATTGATTCACGTTAAATACGTTTTTCAATTTTGTATCCTATGTAGGTTATGGCCTCGTAGATCGCTTGTATTTTTCTGGCCACAAGTTGAGAACCACTGCTTTCAATGTATAGAAAATAGATGTGAAAACAATTCATGTTCAATAGACGGTAAGAAATTACCTTGCTGATTGTGATTTTTCATCAGTAACATCTTATTCTATTGAAAATTGTTTTCATGCCAATTTTCTAGAAATTAAAATAATGGATATTACTAAGAAATTGCTGATCGGATACGAATATATGTTACATTAAAATTTTTTAGATTAATATCTTAACAATTGTATATTTTGAACATTTTGAAAAGTATTAAAATAAAGTTATTTTTTTTTTAATAATTAAGGAATGAAATTAAAAAATTAAATTTTTTCTACATGTGTCCCCCTTTCAGAAAACTTAATTGAAAAAAAAATGAATATTGACAGAATTATTAGCATAAGGATAACACTATAGTACACACTGTATAATTACCAATCAAAAATCTACCTTTTTTTAAGCACTTAGGTATAATTTACTCCTATATGAATAACATTCAGGGAAATCCAGGGAAAGTGCATCATATTACCCCCCCTCCCCCCTAGATCTGGTGCTGATGACTACTATAAAAATAAATGTCTGTACACCAATTTAATTATTATAATATTTGTTTAGGATATTCGTGTAATGGATTATTTGAATGTATTGTTAGTAAAATATTCACCCTTGAAGACATATCAGCTACTTCAGCTGAGCAATATTCATCAATTTTCAACAAAATAGTCAAAGATATTCCAACCTTATTTCCGGTAGTTTGAATAGCAGAAGCATTGTTTAAAATTTAAACATATTTGTTCATTTTGTATGATTAATTTCAGGAACCGAAAGAAGTTCATAGGTACATTTCGAAATGGTGGCAGATAAACGAACTAATATACATATTGAGTTCGAGCATGAAAGATATTGAAAATCGCTGGGCTGACGGAAAAGGCCCATTGGCCAACGAGTTAAAAGTCGAACAAATAAAATGTTTGTTAAAAGCTCTATTCCAAAATACTGATCGAAGAGCAGCTTTACTCAAACACATTTCAGTTACTGCACAATCATAGTGAATGTTGTGTATGTTTATACTATAATATGTTTATATATATTATACACAATTTTTATACATGTTGTGTAATTAATTAATATAATTTTTATACATGTTATATTAATGATTTTTAATAGATTTTAAGAGTTTAAAATTGCACTGTTTAATTATTTTACTATAACTATGTTATAGTATAAAAAGTATATAAATGTATTATTAAAAATTACTGGAAAACTTGATATTTTTATTTTGGTTTTTATAGTTAATAATTTATTTTATATATATATATATATATTTTTTTTTTTTTATTCTTTAAATATACAAAACATCATATAAATAAAGAGNGTGGTGGAGTAGAGAGTTAACAATAGTAATATTAAAAGATAGATAAAATAAAACAAAAATAAATATAAATCTAATACAACAAGTACAACCAAAAAAAAAAATTAGATACATGCGACTATAGTTATAATTTGTACAGAATAAATAATTTAAAATGAAAAATATAATAATATGACTTGTATATATACATAAATATATACATTTAGATTACATAATAAAACAAAAACAAAATCACCGAAAAATACTATTAATTAAGAAGATATTAAATTAAATTAAATTGGAGAATAACCATTTATATACAATTTTTTTCCCATTAGCTTTACCTTCATGAATTTTTTTTTTTTGAAATGTTGGCATTTGATTAAAATAAGTTGGACCTAAATAGTCAACAAACGACTGTCCAAAAGATTTTTTCGAATATTGTACTGGTAAATTATAAGCTCTGTGTTCTCGCAAATGTGAACAATTTGCTTTGCTACCAAGACTCATTAATTTTTTTATTGTAAATAAAATTGCATATTTTTTGTATAAGTTTCTTATCGGAAGAACCCCTAAATTTAAGTAATTCATTTTTGTTGAACCTACTAAAGATTTTTTATTTAATATAATTCTTAATACACTATTTTGATTGGATTGAAGTATTTTTAAAAAATTTTCTTTGACACCACCCTATACTAAAAGACCATATTGGCAGATAGATTGATAAAAGGCAAAATAGATGGTACGTTTGTACTGGTAAAATATCTTTGAGTTTAACGAATCTATGTAATGAATATCGAAGTTTCCCTACTAAATTTTGAATATGAAAGTTCCATCTCAAATTATTATCGATAATAATACCCAGATAACGAATTTTTGAGATTTTAAAAATACGCTTACAATTTTGCATATTGCATGTCAATTGATTTTTACAATTGTGAATTAATAATGGAATTTCGTCATTAGTAATCCTATTTATTGATAACTTCATATAAGTTGGTTTATCAGAATTCATAGTTAAGCCCAGTTCGCTTATGCATTTATAGGTTAAATTTAGACCTCTCGTTGCTTTTAGGTTTACCCCCTACCAAGATATATCCGAAAATGACAGACAGGTATCATCTGCATAAGTCACTATTTTGCCATTAATATTTAAATCACAGACTGCATTAATGTATAGTATGAACAAAATGGGACCTAGAACACTACCTTGCGGGATACCGTATTCAATAAAACTTCCATTGCTTATAACATCATTTAATTTCACCATTTGTTGTCTATTTGAGAGATAATTCTTAAACCAGCGCAGACTTTTGTTAATTATTCCAAAATTCGGTAATAGCCGTAATAGGATATCATGTTGAATAGTATCAAAAGCCTTTGCTAAATCTATAAAAACAGCAATCGTTTTAAGTCCATTATCTAAAGAATCGTATAAAAATTGAGTTGCATTATATAAGGCATTCTCAGTGCTTATACCTGGTCGGAATCCGTATTGGTTTTTAGATAGTAGGTTGTTTTTCTCAAGGTAAGAAATCAGCCTTGTTTTAATTATTTTCTCAAATATTTTGAAAAAGTTGGATAACATTGATATAGGTCTATAATTACTAATGTTTTTCCTGTCCCCACCCTTAAATAAAGGCTTAATAANCAGCAATCGTTTTAAGTCCATTATCCAAAGAATCATATAAAAATTGAGTTGCATTATATAAGGCATTTTCAGTGCTTATACCTGGTCGAAATCATATTAGTATTATTCATTTGTATACTAATACACTTATAAATATGATAAACTATTACTTTACCTTTAAAATTGATCCTAATTAAAGGTATTTTCCTCTGAAAGTAGACACTTTCTATACATTTAAACATTTTCATAGTTTTAGAATTGGTGGTCAGTGGCTGCCTGAGAATTTTGTACTTTAGAAGCAAAATTTTTAAATTCAGATCAAAATTTTAGTAAAAATGAGCAAACGTTTATTGCAATAAATTAATCCGTTTTCCTTATACTTATTTTTAGTAGTTTTTCACAACTATTATGGAAACCAGTTGAAAAATCAAAAAATTACCTCCTCAGTGCAAATATAAAAATCCAAAACGCTAAATCAAAACCTTTTTGATCTTATTTTGAAATTACAAAAATGAGTATAAGGCAACATTTGAAAACAACTGGTGAATTATAAAAAACAAAAAATATTTTTAACGTCTCTAATTATCCAGCGAAATATTTGTAATGGGACGTTTATACGATTAAGTTCTGCAGTTGCTGAAATGTTAGCAAAAACTATCGCCCATTCACTAACAATTGTCTTTGAGATTTTGAATTCCCTCCAATAACATTATCATTTTGTTGGACATCTCTTGTTCAGTCTGATTCTTTTGACCCCGTGGTTACGTTTATATTTTAATATTTTAATCATGAATGTCTTTGATTTGGTTACACTGCGCAAATGTTAAATTGATAGTCATATGTTTTCGAGTTGATAACGTTTTTCTTAATTTTCCAGAGTCCTTGTCGCTATTTGGTTTTTTGCTTTACCATTACATTTACATCCAGATCATAAAGTTTACAAGAACGTTGTACAATGGCATCTCGTTTATTAACTTTTCAAACACCTCTGAAGGCTCTCACGTTGAAATCTGGCGTCATCCAGGTAATTTTCGAGACAAAAAACACCTTAGACGCATTTGACGAATTCGTTCTTTCGTATAATCTCTATTACTTTTGTACAGGTACCTAAGTATTGGAAGTCTTCCGCTGCTGCACCATGCCCCGCTTATCTAAACGTTCCCGAAACTAAAGTCACCACGCTTGAAAATGGAATGCGAGTAGCCACCGAAGACAATGGTTCACAAACAGCGACTGTTGGCTTATGGATTGATGCTGGTTCGAGATGGGAAACAGCAAGCAATAATGGTGTTGCCCATTTTGTCGAGCATATGCTTTTTAAAGTAAGCTTGATTAACGATGAATAATATTTTTAGCAAAAGTGTAAATTGTACATGAATATTGTTTATTAGCTGATATCCTTTTTTGTATTCTTATAACTGTCGTTGTTGAGTCATAATTGACCAGAAATTTAAATAACATATCTTACTTCAATTTGTATTTTTTAAATCTTTTTTATTATATATATTCTAATTTTATTCAAATTAATATTTTCCATTCATTATTACAATTTTTAAAGTTAAATATGATTATTTTGTACATTAAAAAAAGCACAATCTATAGAAGAAAATTGGAAAACTAAATTTCATGGATATTTTATCCTTGACATTTCCAGTTAAGGGGTAATTCAATGTACATTATTTTAGGGTACACCGTCCAGAACACAGAACGCCCTTGAATTGGAAATCGAAAACATTGGTGCACATTTGAATGCTTACACATCTCGGGAACAAACTGTATTTTATGCCAAAGCTTTAAAAAGTGATGTACCTAAAGCTGTTGAGATTTTAGCCGATATTTTACAAAACTCTAATCTTGGTATGTACCCAAAAAAAAATTATATTAAACAATAATATCTATCGAATGTATAAAAACATATATATACTACCGCAAAGATTTTTAGTATAGTACATCTATGAAATTCTTTGATAATCCTATCTCTCACAAAACCAGTATTTAGGTACTTTTGATACGACCATTATATTATTTTTTTTGTTTACTAGTTACCCTGGTATTATGCCAGACGGGACGACTCTGGTATTATTATATAGAAACTCCAGATTCAACAAAATTGTTTTTGGTTTACTTTTATGTTTGATTTTACATTTATTAACTGCCTAGATTAATTGACCATTAGTGTTCATATTTAAGGAGACATTTATTGCATTATTTCATATCTCAATAACTATAATGAACTTTTCATCATTGATCAATGCTATACAAATTTCAGCATAATTGCAGTTTGCTATCACATGATTTTTTTTCGATTTGTTTTTTTTTTTTTTTAAAAAACTTAAGTACATCAATATTTTGAAAATATTGACTGATCATTAATTTCGAATTTATATGTCGTTTGAAGTTGGTTATTTTGGATATTATGTGTGTCATCAAATTATTTTATATTGCATTATGTTTGACCTTGGTTGTCGTGGCCTAGTGGTGATGCATATCTGTTATCATTTCAAAACTCGAGATTGAACCTGTATGGTTACTTTTTCTGCACTTTTTTCCAATATTTTAAATAGTGCGTTAGAAATTTATTATTTTTTTCACTGTTACCTACCTTGGCTAAACTGCAATAAATTGTTCTGAAATTTTATTAAAATATATAACTACTAACTGTAAATTCTATTCTTTGTGGGAATATTCGGATCCCCACTCACAGGGAGAACTAACAGTAAATTGTATACAATTCAAATGTCAAAACAAATGAAAATCATTAAATTATTTGTTATACCTATTCCTATTAATGAGTATTTAAATTATGTGGTTTGAAAAAATATGTAACAAAATATTAGGTATACAAGGTGTCCTACAATGTTATCCTTATGTTAATAACCCTGTCAGTATATATTTTTTTTTATAGTCAGATTTTGCACGAATGGGACACATATTACATATTATATAAAGAAAAATTAAATTTGTTTTCATCCCTTAATCACTAAAATAACTTTTTAAAATTATCAAAGTAGCCATTTTGTATTTTATTTATACAAATTAATATTACCTTGTATTAAAATTATATTTTTACATCATATTATATTTATATTAATTTTAAACATAGTCTGATATACACTTTTATATTTAATAATAGAAATTAATATTTATAAACTATTATATTATAGGAGAAAGTGAGATTGACAGAGAACGTGGTGTAATTCTTAGAGAAATGCAAGAAGTGGAAACTAACTTACAAGAAGTTGTTTTTGATTATTTACATGCTACTGCTTACCAAGGAACACCATTAGGTCAAACCATCCTAGGACCAACAGAAAATATTAAGTAAAACTATAATTAAATTTTACTAAACAAAACTCATAATGATTTTTTCTTTTGTTTAATTTTAGTTCTTTAAAACGCAAAGACCTCAAAGAATATATTGACATATTCTACAGACCATGCCGTTTAGTATTAGCCGGTGCTGGTGGAGTAAACCACGAAGAGTTGGTGGATCTTGCCAAAAAATTATTTAAAACCCCAAAAGATTTGAAATTTGATGCTGAAGTTCCATCATACTCAAAATGCAGATTTACTGGTATTTTATTAGTTCCTAATTCATAATACTTAAAACAAATCTTGATAAAAGTTTTTAATTAATTAAAATTAAAATCGATTGTATTTAGGTTCTGAAATCAAATCACGTGATGATTCTCTACCTTTGGCACACATTGCCATTGCAGTTGAAAGCTGTGGTTGGTCTAGTGCCGATAACATACCTTTAATGGTAGCAAACACTTTAATTGGCTCATGGGATCGTTCTCAAGGAGGAGGTAGCAATAATGCTAACCGATTAGCTCGGGAAGCTGATTCATTAGACTTATGTCACTCATTCCAGTCATTTTTAACTTGTTACAAAGATACTGGTTTATGGGGAGCATATTTCGTATGTGATAGAACAAAGATATGGGTAAATTCAAATATTTTTTTTTATTAATACCACTCTGTAACCAATGTAGTTGGTTAAATCGGATCATTCATGGATTATTTATTTTTAGGAATTTACTTACCATTTGCAAGAAGAATGGATGAGATTATGTGCTTCTGTGACAGATGCTGAAGTAGAACGCGCTAAGAATGTTCTGAAAACTAACATGTTATTACAATTGGATACATCAACACAAGTGTGTGAAGACATCGGTCGTCAACTATTGTGTTATGAAAGACGTATCCCTCCTCATGAATTGGAAGCTCGTATTAACGTAAATAAAATATTTTTTATTTAATTATTTTAATGCTACTTCTGAATTATCTATTTTTTTTTTTATTTTCTAGGATATCAGCGCTAAAGACATACACGATATTTCTCTGAAATATATCTATGACAGATGTCCAGCTGTTGCTGCTGTCGGCCCAGTAGAGCAATTAGTTGACTACAACGAGTTGAGATCCAACATGCGTTTGTTAGTTTTGTAAACTCGTTCAGATTAAGTCTTCTACTCAATTTCATCATTTATTGTGCTGTTTCTACAATATTTTACCATGTTCAACACATTCAACAGTTCAACATAATCAATCATTTATTTGTATTGATCTAATAGATACTACACATTTTTTCTCTAGAAACTGTATTAATTGTATTTCTGTTGAAGATTTATCTATTGTAGAAGAATATTAAATACGTATATTATATAATTTTTTTTTTAACCATTGTTTTTTATTTATATAATTATTATTACAATCACATATTAATGAATTGTCTTTTTCTTATTTAGTTCTTACATTTAAGAAATAGTTTTGTTTTTAAAAACAAATACAAATATTGATTGTATAAAATATTTTACATATTAATATCATGCTCTAAAATCACTTCTCTAAGCTGTTTAAAACTAGAATATTTGAACTTATAATATTCATATTAAATTATTATGATAAATCAATGCAAACAAAATACGATTCTGAACGAAGTTCAATTTTTTTGGATTTTCTTTAGCAATTTGAAATTGCTTATAAAAAAAAAAAACAGCCAAATAGCGCTAAAATAAGAATAACATGATAGAGTTAAATTTTTAAATGGAAAAACTTGAAAATGTTGAATCTATATAAATAATGTTAAAAATTTCAAGAAGGCTTTGCATTTTTTATTGTGACTAGAAAAGATCATTATTTAGAATTCATTATTAGTATATTATGATAAATGTAGACCTCTATGCCTCTATTCCTAAGTAAATTACAATAAAAAAAATGTAATTAATTAGAACATAAATATTTCTGTAATTTTTTCTGTTTTTCACAATTATTAAGAAAATCAAAAAACCACTCACCTAAATCTAAAATGTGATAAAGAATATAGAATTTTTTTTTATAAAAGATATTACTTTTGAAATTTAAAATTGTTTTGAGATAAAACATAATTAAAAATGACAGACATACTTTACACAGAGGTGCAGCCACTGTTATAGGTGAGAAGTTAGAAAGGTAGGATACAGACGGGAATTTAATGTATATCTGTAAACAATGATAAACCATTGCTAATGAAAAACGATTTTGAACAGAGTTCAGTTGATAGTGTTACTACTTTGTAAATTATACATATGTCATATTATGGTAAAATGATAACAACAATAAGCATTTCCATAACAACAATAATTGTTTAAAAAAGATTAAAATAATAAAAACTTAACCTCAGTCTTTAGAGTGAGGTTTCCTGATTATCTTGAATATTAATGAGATTTTCAAAAAATTACCTCTAAAGTACTACCCATAGAACATTTCCTTTTGGAAAAGGTGCTATAATTCACTGTATTTTGGGGTTATTCATCTAAATAAAACAAAATATGTTGAAGTCCCGGGGATGTCAGTTTAGAAGTTACAAAATTTGACTTATGTAAATTCTTTTTGTTGGTAATGAGGGTGAAATCGGGGTTTGTTTCACTGTTAATGTTCATAGAACATTTACTTTCCGGAACTGGTGATTTACCTGCACGTGAGTCATCAACCAAAAACGATAAAATAATAGAATAAACTTGCAAAATAATTAGGTATATTAGCAATAACATAATATACAATTTAAATATACCTCACATTTTAGAATTTCTCTTAAATACAAATTCAAAACAAAAATATTGTAAGCTATTAACATAGTTACTTAGGAATAAGGAGCAATGATTTTATATATTAATAGAACTTGTTTGTCAAAATAAAATAATACTAAGTTTTCAGTTTAAAATAATGTACAATTTTATTCATAACCATATCAATATTAATATTAATAATTAGCATACAATATGTTTTACTTCTTTTTAAACTTTTTAGATTTATTTGATTTGTGATTACCAATATGCTTTCTCCGTACACCCATCGCACCCTCTTCATCATCACCAAGTGCACTTTTCCCTTTCTTCGTCCCCATATCTTTCATATTCTGTAAATAAAAATAACAATTATAATTAAGTTTTAAATTTTTTTTTTTTATCACTTAGTAATATTAACCATTTTGGCCAGTCTCTGAGCTTCGGATACACGTTCCTGCAAACACATTACTTCATCATCTTCCACCTGATATAGAGGCAATTTTTTACCAATAAGTTGTTCTATTCTTTGATAAAGTTCAATATCATACTAAAAAATAAAAAACCACTAGTATTAAACAATTCTTATATCTTGGTACTTTTTAAATTTGTATTATATAGTTTAATCATAACTTAAATCTATATTTTTGTTGTTGTTTAAAACTGTAAAAAAAACATAATTTAGTTGACAAAAAATAGAAAATGTGTTCTTTACCTGAGTGACAAGTGTAATAGCTTTTCCAGACCTTCCAGCTCTGGCTGTTCGCCCTACACGATGAATATAATCTTTACTGTGCGTTGGCATATCAAAATTAATAACAACATCAACATGTGGAATATCTAAGCCTCTGAATTATTACCGAAATAATAAAATAAAATATTATACAGTAGAAATATTAAACATAATTAGTTCATGCAGATAAAATCACTCTACATAAAATATAATGTGACACTAACCTACTAGAAACATCAGTAGATATAAGTATTGATCTAGATTTTGATTTAAATTTATTCAGTGAAGCTAATCGTTTGTTTTGTGTCATCTGCCCATGTAAGGGTATAGCGTCCAATCCCAAATTTCTAAGCAACAAAGCTACACGAACAGTGCCATTGCAAGTGGACATAAACACCATAAATGTATTACCGGCCATTTCATTTAATATATGTACCAAGTATACGTCCTGCAAATAGTTTAGAAAGCACAATTACAAATTAATCATAAGATAAAATGGTAACACAAATTAATTAAATATTTACTTTATATTTGACAGGAATGAAAAGATAATATTGTTGCAATTGTTCAACTGTTTGGAATTTAGTAGACACTTCCACCTTAACTGGATCAACTAATGAAGCACGGTGTAGTTTTTGTACTTTTTTTGTCATTGTAGCAGAAAATAAAAATGTACGCCTTTCACGTGGTATAACTTTTAATATTTTGTCTACTTCATCTTCAAAATCCATGTTTAAAATTCTATCAGCCTCATCCATAACCTACAAAACATAATGAGAAGAAACAGTCTTTAAACTATTTAAATAAAAATATTAATATTTTTACAGACAATTATTCTATATACCTACCAATATAAAAAAATATTAACTATTTACCAGTAATATATTAATATATTGATTTTCATAGTTACACATATTTAAGTATACTATTTTTAGAAGAATCACTCACAAGCACTTTTAAATTTCGTAAGCCAAATCCTTTAGTGTTTTCTAGATGATCAACGAGACGACCTGGAGTTGCAATGATGATATGGGGTTTTTTAGCCAACATCAATGATTGGGCCATCATATCCATGCCACCAACAATAACAGCACATTTCACACCAATACTAGATCCTTCATAAAATGATTAAACCATAACACTAATTTAAAAACATCATTTTTTTAAGAATTTACCCAAGGCTTCTATTTGCTCTGATATTTGAAAGGCGAGTTCTCTAGTTGGTGTTAAAATAAGAGCGAAATATCGCTGAGGGTTTTCTAACAATGCTTGTAAAATAGGAATGGCAAACGCGCCAGTCTTTCCAGACCCAGTTTCGGCCAGGCCGATTATGTCTTTGCCTTGTAAAGCTATTGGAATCGCTTCTTTCTGTATTTTGGTAGGTGTTTTCCATTTTAAGGTTTCGCAAGTTTCACACAATACGTCTGTCACACCCTATAAAAAATAAAACGATCGAATAAACATTCGTATGTCTGAAACGTCGTTCATTATCTATTTATATAGATATTAATGTGATAAAAATTATTACTCACTAAATCTTTAAACGTGACAACGGCTTCTGGGTCGACAATTTTTTTGGATTCTTCAGGGTCCATGTCCGCAAATACTTTAGGTTAGAAAACGGTAAGCTCTGAAGAAACCTGATGGCATTATAGCGCTTCAAAATATATGCGATTGCCTATTCAACCCCTTTCTCCTTATCACTTATATACTCGGTAACTAACATAGATAATTATAATAAACTAGATTGCTAACTAGTGATAACATGAGAAGTTTTGTTTTTAATTTGAAGCCGGAACTATATTATCAATTGATAATTTTTAATCACACTATCACAATATTATTCACGACTGCCTATTGGTTTTTGAATTTTTTTGAAATTTATACATTTTTATTTTTATGTTCACTCAGTTTTTACATTTTGACTGTGATATACCTGATGATGAATTTTTAATTCGAAACCGGTAGTATAATACACTTATCATAATATTTCAGGCGACGCATTTATTAATTTTTTATTTCTATTTTTATTTATAACATTAAATAATAGATATGAAGTTTTATTTTCAATATTCTTTGATTATTATTTACTGATGTAAAAAAATGGCGACCGTTTTAATAAAACGTAAAATTTAATTAAATTTAACATGTAAAACAAAAAATGTCTAATTGTTGAATTGACATTATGGTTATATTACAATTTAAAATACATAAACAATTTGTTATCAATATAAATAAAAATCGATGTTGCGTATGTTGATTTTTTAACGAAATATACAGATTACATAGGCTAGTTAGCAATCTAGGTTATTACATTTATCTATGGTAACTAATACAAATTATTTGGCGCCATAAATCAAAAATTTAAAATAGGTACTATTATACAATATTAGAATATAGATTAATATATTTTATTGTATACTATATTTTGTTATATGCAAAGTACCAAAACAATAATTAAATAACACATTTATCGACGGTATCAGTATTCCATTTCGATAGTTAATTATTTTTTATACCTTACGAAATTATTTTAATAATTAATGTAACACAGTTGTCGTGTATTTTTAAAATTTTCCTTGTAATTTACATATTTAAACATATTTGTTTACCATGGGTAGAAAACTTTGTTTTCATGATTTCTTGCAATAATACAGGAAAAGAAAATCTTGGAATTTCATTCCATAGATTTCCAAGTGATCGAAACGTGTAATTCTTAGAGATTTTTTTTGAATTTTAATTAAATTACAATCCTAATTTCTATAAAATATTTATTATAGATGTATTCAATGGGTGAAACTAATACAAAATAATATAATTATTAATAATTTTGAACAAAAAGGACTGGCCTCAGTACAATACAAGGTGATATGTTCAACACACTTTACAAATGAAGAGTATTCAATTTGTAACGATATTGGAAATAGAATGTCTATATATTATAGTTATTTTAAAATTATTTTATTTTATATCCTTATTAGACAATTATTAACAAGATTCTAATCAATAATTATTAGTCATGCAAGTTATTGTATAAAATGTGATGCCATCATTAAATCATAGTTTAACACTATAATATTAAGTACGTGTAGGCTAATGGACTAAATTTAAAAATTAGAAAAAATTGTATGTAGTTGTTCTTTTGTTGAAGTAATTATCATAATATCTACAGTAAGTAACTAAAGAAAACTAATTCTAACCGACTAAAGTTCAATAAATAAAGTAAATAAATATATAAATAAAAAATGTATGTATAAAAATAAAATTAATTAATTAATCGGTGCGTCACCTGGAGTATTATGAAAAGTGTATTATACGACCGGGGTAAAAAAATTTACAAATTGGTCGTTTTACATAAAATATAGATATAATTTATTTTAATAAGAGAGATTTTTTTTTTTCTATTTATTCCTTCATTTAATTTTACATATTCAGTCACGTTTTACATTTTGACTGTGATTTACCCGATGATGAATTTTTAATGCTAAACCCGGACGTATAGTATACTTTTCATAATACTCCAGGCGACGCATCAATTCATTTGTTTATTTTATTTTCGTACATTCCTTTTTTTATTATTTACTTTATTATTTTATTAAAGTTCATTATTCACTGTCACAAACAACTAACAAGTGATAACAGGCCCGTCGCGGGAAATTTTCCGCCTTTCGGCAAGCATAATGTCACCCCTTCCGTCAAAAGCAAAATATTTAGTATACAATTTTAATGCATAATTATTATAATGAATAATAACACTTGAATTTGATTGTTGAGTTTCTGTAGATTTCAATAAAAATTGTGTGAAACCTCCCACTTGTTTACCAATATACTATTGTTTAGCTACTCTAATTTTCTTATATTTAAAACCGGAAAGTCATTTCCGTGATGTAATTATTAATAAAGGAAAATTTTTTCAAATAATGGTCAATCCTAATAATTGTATTAGCCTAAAAATGAACACAAACCCGTGATAAATGTGCAATATAGTAATTATGATACAGTGGTGGATCCAGGAAGAGGGCGCAGAAGGCGCGAACCTCCCTAATTCGGTTGTGAAAAAAATGATCCATCAAAATAATTGTGTAGGCATACGACGCTTTTTCGTAGCTTGAATCGCCGGCCGGCGGCCTGTGAAAGAAGTGTCCCTTGAAATTCAATACCTATAAATTGAATCTATTGTGATTATTGTTATTATTTATGTTAAGTCTAATCGTTATCGTCGTAATCGAAATGTAATGTTGTACTCGTCATCGGATTGCGATTTGGGGCCGCGTAAAATATTGGAACATATAGGTATACACACGTATCTGTATGTATATCGTGTATATTTTTCCGACCAAACACGGTTCCGCGAAAAAGCGACGGACAAAAAATAATAATAATATGCAATACGCCATTAGATACGACATTTGATACCTACCCACTTAAATCCTCATTGCTCTTACATTACTATGTATTGTTTCGAAACGTGTTATTCGTCTTTCGGATTTAATATTGATTGTCAACCAATGATTCGTTGGGTTTCGGTTAATTCATTAGTTGTGAATCTTGATACAACGAATTTTCTGTTATAAAAAAATGCCGCCCTAGTTTCGTTTAATATGTTTCATGCCTTTAGGCATGGGTCTAATCTGCTTGTGCCCTAGCGACAATAAAATAATATATTTTGGCTTTTGCAATAAAGTATACACTAAACAGTTTCTAATTTGTATATAGGTAATATTATGTATCAGTGTATTGTGTATTTTTGACTTGTGCATCACTAAAATACAATATAATATCTGTTACAGTATCAGTGTCTGAAAAAAAGGAAAAATAATTAAGGGGGTTTATATAGGCAACCTGGTATAATACGGAGCGCAACAACTGTGTTCCTCAGAAAATCTACGAGCTTCTCGTATTCTAATCTATAGTAATTGATGTCAATGTAGCGTGTAAGCTTGTGTAATATTTTTCGTGTTTTTATAATGTAATTTATTTTAATATTTTGTTAGGTATTTGTTTATCATGCGGTTTATCGACAATTAATTTATCAAACCGTAGGTCCGTCGCCGCTCGATTTTTGTGATACGACAACGACGTTCGTCTATCAGCTGTTCTGGTAGCACTGACCATCGGCGTCCTTGAACTCGACGAATTATGTTGGTTCACCTGTCACATTGTCCGTCGGACATGAGTGATTTGTTGGAAATTTTGATTATTTCTGTGTGTTTGTGTTACAATTATTAATAATATTGTTGTATTTTCTTTTTAAATAAGTATCTAAAACTCCAAGTTTAATATATTACCTGACAAAGGTATCGTTTTTTATTTCATAGCTTTCGATTAGTATCCGAGACAAACACTCAGCGCGCAACAGTCGTCCGATCTGTAGGCCGCCGCCGTCCGTCTGTCGCCTAATTGACAACATTCGCAGTGAAATCTGCGGAACCGAGTCCTTTGATTGTCCTACGATGACCTGACGGGTAATCGTATGAACGTCTACTGGGCCACAGGTAGAAACTTAATCGGCCGTCACCCTCGTCAACTAATAGTTGAAAATGTTGACGTACGCGAACACCGCTCCTGATGAGACACTCACAGGACGAGACTGTTCCGGATAGATAATTGTATCGATTTAAAAAGACATATTTCAAGTAAGCTGACAATTAAGTACCCCTCGTGGCAATCGTCACTCGTCTTTAAATTTGGTTTTATGTTCATTTTTCTTTGTCATCTGGTTATCTGTAGGTGTGTAAATTTACCCACATAGATTTCTGAAAAATATTCTTATTCGGTCAAATAAACTTGAAGTTTACCAAGATAAACAATAGCTTTGGTTAGATTACTATCGTAAAATGTTAATTGAAACTATCTAGCTAAAGAAGTTTTCTTCAGGAATTTTTAAGATTGAGTAGCATATTTTATAATATACCCTTATTTTGTTGGTTTATCGAGTTATTTTTACCTACATTACCTAATTCATATTTCTAAATTTTCATTCAGTCCATAATACTAATAGTATTACTTAGCCGCAAAAGCGATACCCTATGCACTTCCTTGAGTTTGTAAATATTAGGTCAATTAAAATCGATATTTGTTCTAACATTCGTAAACAATTTTATTTTTAAATTATTTATTGCGATATTGGAACAAATCTAGTTTACGATCCAAGCTCGTTTTTCAAATTTTTTTTTTTCAAAATATGTGTTTTTGCCTATACATTAAGAATTAAAAAAAAAAAAAGGGATGAACTTCATTTGGAAGTTATAGGGAAAACTTCACGAAGTTCGGGTTTTACGTTTCGCGTATTTTTTTAGTGAGAATTTAACATTTTAGAATTTCCCCCCCCCCCAAAAATGTGTGATTTTTTATGCTTAATTCATTTGTGTAATCAAAACTTACCTGTCATACTCACTTTTGAAGTTATTGTACATAAACCTTGATAAATAGCATTTTGGATGTATCTAGAGACTTGGGGAGGTCAATGCGCTTGATGCGCTCAATCGGACTGTTTTAATAGAAAATAACCCTTGGTTTGTTGTGCAAAACTACGTCAGGTTAGGGTAGATAATAGGAAGAGTGAAAAAGCATTTTGGATGCACTTTGAAACCTGGCGGGGTTACTAGGGTTTGAATGTTTGTAACTCTAAATCTTTGCCAGATAGACTTATTCTGACTTCAGTAAAACAACTTTGTTATCAAAATATCAAACTAAAAATCATAACAATAATAAAAACTACCAATTTTTGAATTAATTCAAAAAATGCTGTTTCAAGGCTTATGTAAAATAACTATACTAGTAAGTATGATAGGTAAGTTTTGATTATACCAATAGATTAAGCGTTAAAAATAACACATTTTGGGACAAAAAAAAAATTTAATATGTTTAGTAATTCTCACTAAGAAATACAAGAAACGGAAAACCCGAAGTTCATCAATTTTTCCTTTATAGCTTCCAAACAAAGTTTGTTTGACTTTCTTTTTCGGTTCTTAATGTACAAGTAAAAATATAAAATTTTGAAAAAAAAAAATGAGCTTGGATTGTAAGCCAGATTTATACCGCAATATCAATGTATGATTTTACCCTAAATTGTTGTCGACATAACTGTGTAGGTAATTGGTATAATTATCGAATCGTAAAACCTGCTTTAGTATAGTTCAAAAAATATTTTTTTTCTTATTATGTTCTCAATTTTTAGAATCTGCCTCATCTTCTCACTATCTTATTTCTTTTACATAAATAATTTTCTTTTATTATAATACACTGTCTAATTCGATTTTCTGAATAGTTTAAATATAAATATTACAATATCTTACATGGTGTTCCCAGAAGGTGAACTTCTATAAACTGATCTACGTATTACAGCTTTTACAAAATTTACTAATATGTACCGAAACAGATTTCTTGGAAACATGTAGTAATTAATTTTGAATAATGTTCAAACCCTTTTTCCATATTTTCTCCAATTTTATATAAGGAATCTTAGTTTTACTATGTGGTTTTTTTCTGTCTGTAAACAATTTTTTAAACACAAAATTTACTCTAATCAAAAAATTACAAGAGATATTTTTTGTTATAATTTGGATCTAGTTAGTGGACTGGGGAAATTATTTTTCGATTTTCCAAGGGGTTTTCATAATAAATGGGGAAAACCGCGAATAAACATAGGTAAATAATAATTTCTTCATGTATAACCATTTTTATTAATCATAGTATTTTAAAATTATTTTTCAAAGAAATTACATATCAAATCGCAAGGATGGCAGATCCAGAAGATAGTGATAGTGACTTTGACATAAATACTCATAAACCATATAAAAGGGTAAGTTTTTTAGTTAAAATTGTTGTTTTTCTGTACATTTTTTTTTTTAATGTATTAATTTTGTTTTTAGATTATTGAAAGTGATGGAGAAAGTTCATCTGGTAGTTCTATTGGTGAACCTAAAATGTGTTCAATATGTTTAACAGATATAGGACGACAAGATTTATCTTCTCCAAATTCTTGTTCACATTCATTTTGTTTGAACTGTCTTACTCAATGGGCAAAAGTAAAATATATTTTGTTGAATTGAAATAAAATATAATTTATTAATTACCTAATAAATTATTAATATATTTTGTTATTAGACTGCAAAGACATGTCCTATTGATCGTTTAAAATTCACACTTATTATTGTAAGGAATAGTCGTGGGCATGTATTACAAGAAATTGATATAAGTAATAATGAAGATTCTAATAAGGAGAGTTTAGATAGTGAAGACTTAACGTATTGTGAGGTAAATATTGAAATATCTTTACATTATACGTAACAACTCTTACAGTTTTGATTAAAAATGAAAATATTTTTTTCAGGTTTGCCATTTGTGCAATCGTGAAGATGAAATGCTTTTATGTGATATTTGTGACAGCGGGTATCATATGGACTGCATTAATCCACCACTCTTCCAAGTACCTGTTGAAGAATGGTATTGTCCACAATGCCGTGACAGAGAAGAACTAGGAGAAGAGGTCAGGCTTAAGTTAAAATAATGAAAGTTCACAATAAGGCTTATTAATATTCAAAAATGAAAAATATTATTTTATTTGATATAAGTTATTACTAAAGGTTCTGATTTTATTGCACTTATAATAATTATTATATTTACAAATATAATAATTATTATATTTGTAAATTTATTTTGAAAACTAAGAAAATTAAATGTTGATAATTTATTGATAAAATTTCTATTTTACATTTTGTAAAGATTTTTAGATTTTTAGTTAATTTATTGTAATTTTTTTTTATTTTTTATTTTATAAAGAATAATACATAAATAATAATACATAATAGTACATCTAATAAAAAAAAATCTTTTAATTTTTTGATACAGCATTTTACCTTTTTTTCCAGAGAATTTAGATTTGTAGCTACAGAATGATTGTTGTTTAATTTGAATAGTGTTATAACTACAGTTATTAATCATTTTAAAACTTACAATAAACATATTTTAAATTTTATTTTTTTATTAAAATTTTTGTTACTCTTTTTATAACTCATGATTTTTAAGTACTTAACATTTTAAACTTTTTATTGTTCTTTGATGCTATAAAATCTAAATTTTAGTTATTAACAATGTTATAATTAATATATTGTTATTATAATATTTCTATTTTTTCAAATAGCAAATTGGACTAGTGATTCTCAATGCGTTAAACAATATGCACCAAGTAGAAATGTCAAATATCTCTAGAGCAAGGCTGTCAGGATCACGAGAGCCACGTTTAGTTCCAAGAACAAGAGCTGTTGAAAGAGTACGAATGCATACTCGACGAATTCAAGAAAATGTTATGGTTTGTATTATTAAGTTTATAATATTTTGATTTTATTTTATTATACCTGTAAGGGATAATAGTATTTATTAAAGTACTTATTAATAATTAATATTGCTAGGTGTGTGTAAATGAAAATGGTGATATATAAGTAGCTATGTTGTCTGTAGTTAATATAATTGCTTTAGTCAAATTATATTATACTAGTTGTACTTTTGCTATTAAAAGTTGTTCTAAATAAGTAAAATCTTATAGTTCTATAAGTACAATTCATGGATTAATTGTATTTCTTGTACAAATTGTTATTTTTTTTCGTTATTGGTATGATTTAATATTGATAATGATTTCTCTCCAAGCAGTTTGTACACATATCAAAATTTGAGTTTGCTTTTAATAATTTTCTAAATAAATTGTATTAACTTTTTGTTAACTATGTTACTGTGCTAACTATTGTTATTTATTGTTATTTTCGTAATTATTATTATTATTGATCGTATTAATGACTAATGAACTTTGCACTTATTGCACTTTGTAGTTGACTATATGTTTAGGTTTATGAACTATGTCTATATCACCCTTTTGTCTCTTATAATATAGTTCTATAATTGGCTATTAAAAAGTTGATAATTTTATTTACTCTTGACTTTGTAATTGCATATTGCTTATATACATTATTTTTAATAATTATTTATTTTTACATTCGGAACATAAGTAAAACAAAAAAAATTACCTATACACGTGTTATAAATTAATACAGAATGTATAAACTTCTAGAAGCATCTAGATTTGAAGTTGACCTAGTTTCAGTTTGACCTAAATATGTCCAACATAATTCTGAAAATTATATTTGATAAATAATTAAAAAATAGTAATAATATTAAATTTGCATTGTGTAGGCTGCTGAAGAAGAAAATCAAGAACAATCAACTTCTAGCAGAAAAAAGCCAAAAAAACCTTCAAAAAGAAATACTAGAGTTAAAAAATGTAGTAAAAAGGTAATTAAAATAATGTTTACTTGTTTATTAAATGCTGTACATACATACCAATGTTTGGTTAATATGGTTTATATATTTTATTTGTTTTAAGCGTAACAAAATTAGAAAAAAGAACACTAATTTATCTGAAAGATTAGGGCAGTGTTCTTCAAGAGAGAATAGAAATTCCACTGGCAATGCTGGCTCATTTGGTGCTTCAACAAGTTTTGTGACTCCTAGGCGAATGAGTTTATTTAGAACTCGTTATGATCTCGAATATGTTGCGGAGTGCGTAATTGTAGCTTGGATTCTAATTTATTAAAATGTATTAAATAATTATTTGTAACTTTGATTTTAGTTCGTCAGATGGTGAACATGAAGTTGGTGGTGATGGATCTTTACAAATGGTGTCAATGCCCCGAATACGTGTTTCAACTACTGATTTGATTTTGCGCAAAGAAATTAGTGAAATTGCACGTCGACCAGTACAAAGAAACATAAACATATCACATAACATTAATTCAGTAAATATATTGGACACTATTATGAATATACAAGAAAATGAGTTTAAAAAGAAGCCTACTGATAATGTTGATAAACACATTACCCAAACTCCAATGTATTCGGATAGAACTGATAAAAGTTCTGACAATTTTAATAACTATTCGTCCAATCGCAATAATAATAAAAGTTATCCTAAAAACAATGATCAATCATATTCTGAAGCAGGAAATTCAAGTACATATGGAGAATCTCATTTGACTAATGAACAAAATTTTAGTGAAAATCAACCAGTTAATCCTTTTCCTTATAGAAACAGTGGTCCTATCAAGTTTCGTATGAATGTTACTAAAATGGGTGAAAGAAAACAGCCACAAACACCTCCTAAGGTGGTCACTACAGAATATAATGTAGACGGGAGCGGACCTAGTACTCAAACAGAAGAAACATTTAAAGCTCTTGAACCCCCTCCTGAACCACCAGCTTTATTATTAGGTATTAATTTAGATGAAGATGATGCTGATAATCTTGTTATCGATGATAAAGATTATTATGATCCAGAAAATCCTAGTGATGGTGATGATGAAGATCCAGCTGACGTTAGTAGACGAACAGCCGTAACTGGTTATATGCAATCACCCACTTATGGTGGTTATATGGAGCAGGTAGAGAATAGGTCTATACCCATTATACCAGTTTCTAATAGTAACAACATATTACGCCCAGCTGATGATATTGTATCTTCTGAAGAAGAGGAAAAAGAAATTAATGATGACTGTCCAAATATAGCATTATATTCATCTACTAGTCTTAAATTGTCTTCATCACCCAAAGAATATGGGCCTATTTTAGAAGACGAAGCAACTAAAATTGATAAATTGAGTGGAGATGCTGAATTACAGTTTATACCAATGCCACCTGTTAGTCCTGAAAGAAATTCACAATCAGCACAAGAAGAAAGTCCTAAATCTGAAGAACTTGTACTTTTGGAAAGCATTGAAGTCAATGATAATGATGAAAAATTTCAAAATGTTGACAATTCAGACAATGATGAAAATAAATTTAACTCTGATGATGATGTAAATGATGTTATTAATGAGGTTAATTTAGAATGTGAGAAAGAATCTGAAACAGAAAAAACAGAACAACAGCTAGATTTTGAAATTGATACTGTTGCTGAACTGAATGACAGCACAAATATAAACAAAGAAAATCAAAGTTTACTTGGAGGTGCTACATGTTCTGAAGTGTCATGTGCAACATTAATCTGTTCAGACAATGATAATCAACATAAAGAAACTGTTGATTTAAGTTTTGATCCAATATCAGACTCGGAGGATGAAAAAAAAAAGGATAATAGAAGTTCTGATGAGAGTGAAAAAGGAGAGAAATTATCAAATGGTAAGAGTGAGGTAACTGTCAAGCACAAGGATAACAAAGATAAAGCTAAAAAACCTATAGTAAAAGAAAAAGAAATTGTGCCATGGAAAAAGTTATCTAAACCTTCCAAAGATAGAAATTATCGTTATGGTAAAGGGAAAGAAAAAATTGGCGAAGAAAATGTCCGCAAAGAAAAAAAACAAAAGAGAAAAGAGATAGAACTGTATGATGTTCGTAGAGTACTTGAAGACAGGCCTAGACGTAAAAAAGATAAATTTGGACGAGACTTATCTAAATCTAGTAATAGTGATTCCAGTTCTAAGGATCGTAGTCGGCGTAAAAAACGTAAAAGAAGTCGCTCCAAACAAAGAAAACGGTCTGTTTCATCTAGTAAACCAAGAAGTCGTAAGCGATCAAAGAGTCGATACCGCAGTGAGTCTAAAAATAGATACCGTTCAAAAAGTCGACATCGATCTAGGAGTAGACATAGATCAAGAAGTTCAAAGCGTTTAAGTAGATACGATAAGGGTCAGTTAAATATAACAAAGGAACGATATCGTTCACCATCACTGTTGGACGAACGTGACATGTCTCCATTGTTGTCAAAACGACAAACAAAAAAATCAAAAGAAAAAGCTAGTATATATTCTAAAATTGAAAAAGACTACGAGAGAAAATTGTTAAAAAATCAAAAAAGTTCTAAAAAGAAGATCAAGAAAAAGTCTAAAGATTATCAATTCTCTTCTCTGTCTCCGAGATCATTATCACCTGGGATGCAGGTTTGGCAATCGCCTAGAGAACATAATTTAAGCCCGTGGTCACATACTGATATATCTCGTACACCATCACCTGTTTATTCACGCCATACAGCAGATATGGAAATGAATTATTCGAATAGAGATCAAGAATTTTCTGAATATAATGATAATATGGGACTAAATAATTTAACAGTAATTGTTAAAAATGACAGTGTAAAAAAATCCAAACTTTCTAAACGTCATAAACGTCAGATAACTGGTCCCCCTGTAAAAGAAGTATTTGCTTCTGGGGATAATATATTGGTCAGTGTTAATTTTAATAAAGACAATGTAGCTGAACAAATACTTCAAGAACCCTTAAAACGTAAACGACAGGAAACTGTATCTGTTTTGTCGACTAAAAAATCCAAAAACAGTGTTGCTGCAGCTATACCCGATACTACTTCGATCAATCACAAAACTTCTACCCTGAAAAGAAATCAAAATCCGAGATGGCAAAATAGAAGGAATATTGTGCGAACAATTGAAGGTATGAATGCCAAACCGGTTGCCATCATAGATTTAAATACATCTCCTTTTAGAGAAATAGAGATGTCTCCTAAATCTATTATTGTCTTAACGGACAGTGATGAAGACAAACAAGTTTCAAAATTGGAAACTAAAAAAGACAACAGTCCAGAAAAATCTAAAGAAAATATTGTAGACGAACAAAAGTCTGTTGAGAAAAATGAAAACAGTACTCAAACAATACCAACAATTACGATTGGAGGTCCAAAAACACCTCCAGAACCGGTTAATGCCATTTCTAAACCGGATATTATATCTAATAACAGTTGTGAATTTAATAGTCAAGATGAAGATCACACACAATCGCATGATGTACGTGGTCGTGGTCCTAATACTCCACCAGAACCTCCTCGATCTGTGGATACAATTGCCAGTGAAACAGCTTATGATCCTTTTGAACCGACAAAATCAAATTCACCCAGTCCTCCCCCCAGAATTGATATGTTTGAAGATGATGACGATGTTGATCGTCATGATCATAATAATCACGATGATGATTGTGATGATAACAATGTTAGTGTTAATGATGAAAATGAAAAAAATGACCATGATGACAGCAACCATCATAATGATGCTCCTATACAACCTCTTGAAGAAAACAAGACTGTAGACAGCCAATTGGCAATTTCGCCTCATCGAAATATAGCAAAAACTATTACTCCTCCATTTTTAGAATCCCAAAATACCAATCAAATAGATAAAACTCCTGAAAAACTCGTTACTAATGTTGTTACAAACCCATCACTGTATACTAGTCCAATAAAAGCGGCCAAAACTCCTAGTCCAAAACAACTGACACCCACAGCCACTAATGCAGATGAAATAATTGATTTAGACGATAATGATGACAGTCAAACTACAGCATTTGATAATGTAGCTAATTCACCTTATTCTCCCAGTGAAGGTTTTGTGGATGAAATGAAAAGTTCATCGCCTGTAAGTCCTACTCCTCCATCTAATAAGAATATTGTTTCTACTACTTCACAGTCTCATAATATCAATGAAACGAGAAGTAAATTGGATACTTTGCTCAGTATACTACCACGAGTTACAAAATCTTCAAATAATAATTTTGATAATATTGCCAAACTCACTAATCTGAAACCGATTAAAATGCCAGCTTCTAAAACAGCAAAACGTATGTATACTCTAATATAATTTAATATTATTTGTTTAATTATATTTTTCTTTTCATTGGATTTTTTCTTTTTAGATTTTAAACAAACTATGATAAATGATGACGGTGTAGATGATTTACCTGGGTCAGCTGTTGAATTAGAATCGAAGAACAAGGTAATTAATCCTTTTAAAATAACTGTTTAGTGATTCAAAGTTAAGGTAATAATTTTTGATAAATGTATAATGTGCAGTTTTTGGAGAAGCTCAATCGTCAGGAACGTGTCATCGAAGAAGTAAAACATGTGTTAAAACCTCACTATAACAAAAAACACATCACAAAAGAACAGTATAAAGACATCATGCGGAAAGCCGTACCAAAGGTAATATTTTTTATTGTCGACAAATAATTTCCAATAATTAATTGAGATTTAATTTTGGTATGTAGATCTGTCACAACAAGAGCGGTGAGATAAATCCGCAGAAAATACACAGTCTCATTGAAGCATATGTGATCAAATATAGGCATTCACACAGAAAACAAGTGCAACGGCTTTCAAACAAGTGAACTGTTTTATAATATTTATCGACTTATGTGTACAGTGTAGCTTATTTTAAATAATTGACAAAATTAAAAACCATTTGGTTTTTTTGTTTTATTCTTCTTTTTTTTTGTTCATAACAATAATAGTATATCATATAGCTGATAAACTTATCACAAACCAGCAATTTTCTTGGGGGTATTTTCATTGTTTCATTCCCCATTTCTTATACCTGTAATGAATAAACCATTTAGATTTTCAAATTGCAATCACTCTTTTGAATATTAGATTCAAATAGATTACATTTTTCTACACATTTTGATGGAAATAATATTAGATTTACAGTTTAGGATATGATGGTGCGTACATGATAAAAGTAATTAGGGCATTTTATTTAACAATGTTTGTAGACAATGCTGATATAAAATTAAAACCTAAGTTCTAACACTGACCAAAATATAAGTATATTAAAATTGATATATTAGATGACGCCAATTGGTGTCGATCGCACATAGACAGTGACGCTATTGACGCCAATTGCCTTTGTATGCAGCGAATGTGTTTAGGTATACACCGAAAGAGAAGTGAAGGATTCTGAATTTATTATATGAAATGTATAACTGTTCTCTACTCATCTGGTCTAGATTTTATATTGTTATAACTCAAATGGTAATTACGATATTAGTGTTTTGTTTATTATTTATAAAAAAATATATTCTCTTATAATTTATGTTCAAATGGGTTTGTTGTTTAAAACTCAAAAGTACTCATTTTAAAATAAAAATTTTAATTTTTAGCTTATAATTAAAAATATTGTTAAAATAAATTTTAAACAATTAATAATAATAATTAAAAAAAAAAAAAGAAATAAAATTCACTAAAAATCCTTTAAGAAAATTGCTAGTTTGTGATTAATTGTTTAAATGTATTGTATCATTCAGAAATAATTTTTAAATATTATAATAAATAATGGAAAAATTTTTATAATTTTTTAAACCTGCAGGGTTGTTTCTTAATTCAGAAATGCCTTGTAAAATAATATTTATATAAGCTAAAAGCTCAAACTAATCGTTATGTAATTAATTAAATAAAGAAAGAATAATAATACTAGTTTCAAAATAATAATAAAAAAAACCTTCCGCTCTTACCATTTTGTATTAATCTATTTAAATATATTTTAATTTTAATAATTTATTTAAATAGATATTTAAATAGATTACCAATTAATGTTTTAATGCCAGTGTTGTTTTTAACACTGTTTTACTTGAGTCCCAATAGCATTTAGACAGTGTATATTATTAATTTATAATTTGTATATATTATAACAAAAATCCATATTTGTAAATTTAAATTATTGTGTTAACATTTTTATATTTATAAATAGGCTATTGTAAATTATTTCTAATCTTATTTGTACATTAAAATATATTAAAGCTATTTATTTGATAATTTGGAATATTACTTGTAGTCTTAATCGTTTTTGTATACAAAAAATCTTATTAGTCATAACTTTAGTGAAATTATTTATTTATAATAATTAGTCGCATAATATGTTTATTGAAATATTTTGATTTATACCTAAATATTTAATTATTCAAGTAAGTTCGATTAATAAAAAAATAATATTAAAAAATATACTATTTTGGTAAATATTACAATTTTTTTTTCATTGTGCTAAAAATCATTATTTCTTGCTATAACTGTTGGATGATTATTTAAATATTTCAAATTTGTATTTGTGTTTCTTTGCAGTCGTTTTTTTTTTAAAAAGAATAAATATTGCCTAATGGTCTAAATGTTGAATCTCTTGATAAATAAAAAAAATATATTTGCTACATTTCTTTAACGTATTAATTTTTGCTCCAAGTTAAAATATCGGTATCTAATAATGATATAATTTTAAACGACTGTCAAGTTTTACTTTTTATAAATAATGAGATTACATCAATAAATATGATATTTGAAATCTGTGTATTCAAATTTTCCTCTATGTTCTTACTATTAATAATTTTGTATTTCTAAAATTATGGTGTTTTAGAAATGCAAGTTTTTTTTTTCTCTCGCTAATTTGTAATGTGATCAAAATGCATAAAATTAAGTATATGCCCAAAATTAACATTAATTATTGTATTAAGTTTGTGTATTTTTTTTTTCTAGCTACAAAATTGAATTGTTTTTAGCGTGACTTTCAATAATATGTTGTATTGAATGTTATTTTTTGTTTTCGAGTGACAATATAGTTGTAGATTTTATTAGTAAAACAAAAATACGTATATGTTTTATTAAATGAGTACTTGCTGCCATGAGTGTCAAATTTATCATTTTTATCAATACACTGTGTCTCTTTAGTCATTAATTTTTAGTTAGGTATCTACTATTATTAACTATTATATAGGAACATTTTATTTTTATAATAATTACAATTGTTATTTTTATTTTTTATTATTATTTTCTATCTATATAGTTTATTCTTACCAGTGCTTTGAAAGGTCCTTTTAAAAAGGAATTAGTTTACTTTTATCTTGTTAAAATTTAACTAATTTCAGGCTTCTTGGATTGAAGAATGAAATTAGTTAATTTTCTTGTTCCTTAAATAAAAAATAATTCTTTAATTAGCACATATTTCTTAGATTCTGAGCAAAGCAAAGAATGTATTGGTTTTGTAATGATGTTAATTTTTTATTATTTATTTTTATGTATACAACTTTTTTACCAAAAGTCTTGCTCTGATTTTTAAGCACCTTTACTGAAAACAAATTTTATCTGGGTGGCACTTTAAGGTTATTTTTCAATAAGCTGTTAAGCAGTTTTCAAAATAATTGGGATAAAAACTGGAAAAATTTATGAAAATAATGCTTTATTATTTTCAATTTTGTTTTTTTGCTGTGAATCAGTTAACAATATTTGTAGAGACTTGAATTTTGGACAGAACACTTTTATTTGCCTTTTTTAGAATTTTTTTTATGAATTTTAATGACAAATTTTGATGAAAATCTAAAGCATTATTGCTTTTTAAATTATGTATAACAAAACTCCGCTTAGAATTGTTTTTCATTGGCAATGATTTATTGTTGTATACAAAAATACCTACAATTCCCCTTTACATTTTACCTTTCCAATTTCTCATCTACAACAGTTGCCTACCCATTGTGTGTAGTATGTCAGTCTTTTTTTTTTATTAAATTTTAAGATATGATGATCTCCATGAATACTTAACTTGCAGATGTTCTTCACTGGAGGATATTGGGACAAACATATATTCTTAATAAATATTTAAAAATACCTACAAATTTGAAGAATGATTAAAGTTATTTAAAGTAACTATGTATATTTAAGACAATAAATGTTCCTGAATGTTTGCTGTTTCGTGTTAAATTTTTATTTCCTAGCGTATGTTGTTTTTTTTCATTTTACTGACAGTTTTATCATGAGTTTCGTAATAATTACCAGATTGTGATCAGAATTACTATGTGCTTCCCTTTAGCTTCTTATTTTGGTTATACATGTTTTATGTATTTTATGAATTATAACGTGGTCGATTCGGTTCTTAGTTTTCGTGTCAGGTGATGTACATGTATGTTTATGATAAATATCCTTTCTTAGGAATAAAGTGTTACTTTTTTTTTTGTTGCAAAATGTATTATTGTTTAACAAAAGTTTTCCTGTCCTATAATCGGTTTGTATAAAGACACTCGTTCGATTTGAGCGTTGAAATCCCCCATTAGAATTTGTATGCAGTTTCTTGGCAGAAAGAACGTCATATATTCTTTACAGTTCTTCGTAGAATTCACATTTGATGATGTTGTTCCTTCCTCAGTTGGAGTATAGAAACTAAATATCATAATATCCCAGAAACGTCTTTCCAATCACTAACGGTCGAAACTGATTGTACACTTCTATCTGGTCCTTAATAGTTTTCATGTAGCACTTGCTCTAAACAGCGTTCTCATGTCCCATGTACCTACCGATCCTTAATCCATTTTCCCCCTTGTTTTTCTATTTCGTGTTCCAAAAATATTGACCCGAGGTTTGGATAGATTTCGGCGTACGCATGGTTAACGGAACAACATAATTCGAGAAATTAGACCGTGATACATGAAAGAGCTTGGTAGAAGCTGCGAAAGACCTTAACGGCCAGTAAAGCAAAACAAATTAGATTACATGAGTTATTTGTCTTTGTATTCGTATGTATTCTGTCTTAGTATACATTTCACATACAGATCATAGGCGTGTGCAGAACATTTTTACCGGAGGTGCGAACCATCAAAAATACTACACATACAAATACCTGATAAGTAATAAACCGCTAAAAAAAAAAAAAAAAAAAATTGATTGTTTAATATTACCCAATTGTCCTTTATAATATTCAAGTTTATTTAATTTAGCTTAAAAAAAAAAAAAAAAACATGCGTATACATACGTTATTGCTTCGATTTACAAATTTTAAAAACTACAGTTCAAATGGACAAGTATTGTCAAGATGGTACTTGTGAACAACTCGAACAGGATCTATATAGTCTATATAACCTATACAGTATAGTGACCAATATTATTTGAGCAAAACTGTAACGTCTATAAATTAAAATTTTTCACTTTTCTGAGATTCGCCCGATTTCGAATTTTGATCATGTAACATAAATGCCAGGTGATCCATTTAAGTGGATACACACGTTATCTCGGAAATAATTAATTTTTCCCGGAATTTGTTTTCTAGAACGTTTATGAAACGAGCTGCTCTACAATTTTATATTTATGTTATTTTTTGTCACCCTTATTTTTTTTTTTGGGGGGGGGGTGAAACCACTATCTACTTTTGATTTTCGAATGGTAACCTATATTCAAAATTCCATAAATAGATGGAGTATTAATTAAAATAAATTCAGGTCATTTAGGCTTCCTTAGCATTATCGAAAGATAAGCAAATTAATCGAAGATGCCGTTATTATTTTTGGTTAATATATTAAACTAATAGGAATGGTGTTGATGGGGCAATGGGACATAATATATACCCCGAATTCGGTAACGC